GACTGTAACACTACTGAAAACCAGACTTGTTTCCTTGTATCAGAATGATGAGGGAAATACCACTCACTGTAAGTGAGGCGCCCTTAGGCACTTTCTATATGTGTGTGTCTGTGTGTGTGTGTGTGTGTGTGTGTGTGTGTGTATGTACATACAAATGTGCATATGTATGCACATATATGTATGGGAGATAATAAGTGCTAGCCAGTCAACAAATTCATCTAAAAATATTTCTCAATAGCCTATGCAAGTCACTGTCCTAGGTGTCAGAGATAGAAAGATTCACGTGGAACAGAACCCTGCCTTCAAGGCAATTTCAACCTGCCAAGGTTTATCCAGGACCAGGTTTCTGTCACTGCATTTGATCAGAGCACTGCTGTTTTTACTTTCTGTTACTATGACCTCACCAAACATGGACTTTCCCCATACAAAGAAGAGAAAAATGGATTGTATTTGGAATTGTCAATTGATTTTCATGTGATCAATTTGTATAGAATTAAACACCATTGTTCCCAAACTGACCTGTTTTCTCTGTCAACCTCTTTCTGCCTTCTTCTGTGCATTTTATGTACTTCTTTGATGACGTTTTCTTTCTGTTCTTTTTTTTTCTGTCACTCTCACTACCAGCCCCCAAATTTGCCCATTCCCCAAACACAAAGTCCTTAGAACAAAGAAGCAAATGACACCAATGCACTGACGTGCTCAGTCTGAGCCTGTGCATCTCGTTCTGTGTCTTTAGTCCAGCCCCTCTCTTTCCCGAGGTGGAAAATCGTTGTGGGTCTTTAGGAATTGTGAGTGGTCATTGCTTTGATCAGAATTTTTTGAAGACTTCCAAAATTGCATTGTGAATACCCAAATTGACTCCAAAGGACCTGTGAAGGTAGAGGCTATATGCACCCAGAGAAAAACTGGCAAATGGAAGTATGTAGAGAACGATTTTACACACACACACACACACACACACACATACACACACACACGCACGCACGCACACACACCCCTTGTGTCTAATGGTATCCATCTCTAGGGCTGGGGGAGGGAAAGAAAAAAGAGAATAAAGAAAGTTACACGATAACTTTATTATATATGTAATAGGAATAAAAAAGTTATATATAATAGATTTGCTGTTTCATGGGCAATCACCTTTTTTTATTCTACTATGTTATGAAAATGCTTCTTCTATTTCATAAGTTCAAATAAAATACATAAAAATTCCCCAAAAAAGCTACAACTGGCTCCTGCCAGCTGCAGGCTGGGCATCACTGACTACTCCAGATGCTAGGCCACAGCTTGGTTGGTGTTGGCTTCTTCAGCTTGTCCAGTGCCCAGTTCACTAGGAACACTCTGAGTGAGGAGAAATGGACGAGATGATGAGAGGAGGTCATAGAAAAGAAACCGGACAAAATGCCTGTCTTTGGTCTTTGCATCCTTTCCAGTGATTCCCTGCCCTATCCTTGGGTCCTTATTCTTCCCAAGGATATTCAGCATCTGGTCCCCTCCTCTTGTTAGGAGCGGGTTTCACAGCAACAGCAAGCTGATAGTTCAGGTTCAAGGTGGGGATGAAATGAGGCCCGCACAAGCCATTGAACACAAGGAAAGGAGGCTGACTTTGCCCTAACCCAGTGAGGGTGTGCACCAAGGACACAGTGACACTTTTCTGGATAGGGCTTCTCTCATCTCCAGGTGGAAACTTGTCTGGTCCACAGGGCAGGCATGGTGACTCCAAAGGAGCCACCGTGTTGGAGGAGCCACAACTCCCTGTGGGTGGGACTTTAGGTGCCCTTAGGTCACCAGGAAGCTACCTCAAGGGAGACAAGGGCCAATCAAATGCGAGGGACTGCTTTGGTGCCTTTTAGGGAAAACTAATCCTTGTTTTGGGGAAGCCAGAAACTGCTGGTCCTGTCACACATCATGCCCAAAGACCCACAGATCTTCTAGAAGGCATTCCACCACTTCCTAATTTTCAGGATTTGATTGGACAATTATCCTGGCCCAGGGAATACAAGAAGTGAAGAAAAAATACTTTGCCTCGCCAAAGAGCAACCAAAGGAAAAAGGAAAAAAAATGAGGAAGATGAAAAAAAAACCCAGGAATTCTAGACTTTCTCTTTCTCCTTTGGATGAACTGAGCCTCAGATCTTAATGATCTAGACTTGGTGTCAAATACTTAGGGAGTCATATTAAAATGTAAATGGGAAATATTTTACAAAATAAAGGTGCAATAAAACATAAATAATGTTAATGTGTGGTTTTCTCAGAGCCTGGCAGGTAGCAAGTGCTTCTTCTTTAGCAATGATTGTCTACAGTGTAACTAGGCAGGGCTGTGAATATGATAAACAGAAAACGTTTCTTGGCTCCTCCAGAAGAGATTAGATGACAGTTGGTGCACACTTCCAGATGGGGGAGAGGGATAGGAGTCAGAGCCTGGGTCTAGAGGCAAAGAGGAGGGAAGTGAGCAGGGCAGTTTAAAAAGAGGGAATGAAGATCTTCGGGTAAGAACATTGTGACCAGGAAGAAGACACTCCTGGGAGACAAAGGCAGACAAAGAGATGCTGTGTCCACTCCCCTAGACTTTCTTCCTTCTCTGAGTTGTCCCTATTCTGATTCCTATGACTGTGGTGAAGGCTTCCCTGCTGAGCTCCAGAGGACCAGCTCATGTTGTATTGTTCCAATGATTTACTGTGCACTTTGTCCAACTGAGGACTCATTGGCCCTGATCTGGCAGCAGCCTGCCCTCCTAGCCTTATTTCCCACCAGTGCCCCTCAAGCCCTTTCCACTTCAGCCAAACAGTCCTATTCACTCTCCCTCCACCCAAAAGCAGAGGACTCAACAATGAATTTCCTGCTACTAAGTTTAGGACATGGGATCCCATCACTTCTCAACCTCATCTTCTTAATTGTAAAGAAGGGTTTTTATCTCTAAAGTCCCAGTAACAGGTTCAGTGCTCTGTATGATCTATAGGGCATTGTGGGTAGAGGAATGGGAAGACTTTTCTTCTAAAAGGGCCAACCCCTCCCTCACACTAAGTGAGGGCAAGGGGAGAGATCCCTTTCACTGAAGAGAACACTTGCCCCCGGAGGCAGGAAAGTGCATTATTTCACCTTTAGACAGGGCCCCAAGTCTACATAGCTGCCCTCCATCTAAACTGTCAGTAAATGAGGAATATTTCCCACTCCCATGGGAAAAAAATCACTCTTCATCCTATGACTCCGAACACTATACTTTCCTACCTGTGTACCTTTGTCCATATCATTCCCTATGCCCACATTGCGCTTCCACCACTAAGTCAGTAAAAATCCTATTCATCCTTTTAGGCCCCACTCAATAAATGTCACCTCTTGCCACACCACCTCATTTGGAAATGATTATTCCTTCCACAGGCCTCAAACAGCACTTTGTGTACACTTCTGTGCTTGTATGTTAGAGTGGTTGACTCTAACAAGATGGAAAGCTCCTGGGGGGCAGGGCCCAGGCTGTACTTACTTGATTACTTCTGCCACAGCCCAGGCTCTCAATAGAGGGGGGGCTCTTTTGTGTTACCCTGACAATGAGGAGAGCTCCTGGCTTTAGGAGGAGCCTCATCCTCTGGGTCCTTGGTAAGTCCCAGAGCTGCCCCTCCCCCAGCTCTTGGATGGTAGCAGTGACTGCAGACTGGGGGCAGTCACCCTGCTTCTTCTGGCTCATCTTCCCCAGGCCCTCAATCCAAGAACTACATCTCCCAGCCCCCAAGGACCACTAGAGCAGGGAACTTCCCCCAGTTTCCCCCAGAGCTGTCTGTCCCCTCACAAGAGTCTTGGGAAACAGTCAGTGTGAAGACTCGTGATTCTCAGACAGATCCTCTTCCCCGCCCCGCCCCCACTCCATTGTAAGATCTACCTTACCCCAGGACACAATTCCTGCAGACCGAGGTCCCCCTGTCCATGTAGGACAGGTGTAGTTTCCCTTCACTCTTACCCCAACCTCCCCTCCCAGGCGTCCCAACATTCCCAAGTACATCAGAAGTGAAAGGCTTGGGAGCCTCTTTCCCTAGAAACTACCGCCCAGTCGGGACCGCCTGCCCCACACTCATCCTTCTTGCCCCCATCCTCAGTTCAGCGGGGCGGGTCCTAGGGAGGTGGCTTCACTTGCGGCCTCCAGGCTCTCAGGGCCAGCCCGACCCCACCTCTGAACCTCTTCCTCCATCGCTCGTTGCTCCTGTCAGAAATGCCCATTTCGGCCGCTGTGCACCTCCCCTGGCTCCCGGAAAGTGCCCAGCGCGCTCACCCTCTCGCATCGTACAGCTCCCCAGCCTGGCTCCTTGAGGTCCCAGCTCTGCTCTTGGCCAGGGGCCTGGAGCCCACACCAGGCAGCCCTTTCCGCCCTTACCCCACCTCACCCCCATTGCAGATAGGAACGCCCCCGCCCTTGCTGCGATCCGCTGAGCTCAGAGCCTGATTTGCCCAGTGGCTGGTCAAGTTTCAAACCCGCGGGCGGGACAGCAGTGGGGGTCAGAGGACAGAGTCGACAACCGAAGACACGCAGGGACGGGAGCTCACGTTGGACCTGGGTTCCTTCCCCACTCGGAGGCTTCAGGCAGCCAGGGCTTGGCTCTCTTGGCGCATGGATCAAAGGACCTGATCAACTTTCAGTTTCTTTCCCCAGAAACATCTCCGATTCTCGCTAGTAGAGCAGGCGGCCACAGCTCGCTCCCTGCCCTGGCCGTCCCCCTCGTCCTACCACTCACCCCAGTCCGGGACACATTCCAGGCTCTCGCTTGGGATTCGGGCAATGCCGCCTTCGGGGCCCAGATTCTTAGCGAAAACGGGCAGAACAGGCAAGGAAGGAGAGTAACATGGAAAACCCGCCTCTCCCTCCTCTGGTCACGCTCCTAAGCTTCCGTCGATTTCTGTGCCCTCGCTGGGTCCGTTCTGAGTAACGGTGGGCGCCTCTGTTACCGCTGCTCTTGGTGCCTGCTTGCCCGACTGACGGACTGAACCAGCGAGCGAACGCACTGACCAGCCCCTCCGTCCTGGTAATGACCAGCTGCGGAGGGTTCAGAAAGCCAGCTGACCACACGAGGTTTGCATTTTTTCCATCCAAAAAGTAAGGAGACTGAACTTGGTGATTTCTGGGGACCATTTTAAATCGGATTTCCCATGATTTCAGTGAGCACGGAGACTTTGGGTGTAAAACGTTGTAAAGAATGGGGCTCTCTGGGTCTGGAGGTTGTTTTTTTGTGTCTGGGCCTTGGGGACCTGGGGATCTCGTCTGCCTGGGAGTTGCCAACTTTGATAGAGTAAACGTCTGCAGCCTCCTGGGTTTGCAGGATTTAGTTTGTGGTTGGCAGCTGAAATCTTCTAACACCAGCAAAAGCTAAGCCGCTCTTCAGATTGATTTAAATATTCATGAAAATTCCATTCTCTTCAATCAAATACTGCTTTCAAACATTAATTCAGTTATTTAAATCCCTTGGGGCTTTAGTTGCCCCCACCCAGAAATGCCACTTGGTCTACCGGATTATTGGTGGAGAAAAATTAAACACTGATCTAACTAATTCAGAAAGAGAATTCTGCTGTTAGTAGGGGAAAAGGGGCTCAGTTTCTCATTCTGACTTGTAGTATTAATCAAATTTACTTAACAAATGCTCAGTTTATCATTTTATTCATATTGTAGAGACACATCTTTGAATTTCTAAACAACAAATTCAAAGTATAGAAAAAGAAATTATCTTTGATTACAGTTGTGTTTTTAAAATTAGCTTTTACTTGCTTTTGCTGAGTAATTTTCCAACTAAGGAAGAGAAATGAGGTTACCTTTATGGATTCATTTTCTTTCAAACTCTTTACATAATTTTATCAATAACATCACATTTACTTGCAAATATATCACTTTCTGTCTCCTTTTCCCAGAAAACTATCCCTTGCAAAAAGGATTTTACACTGAGAAATCTGTTCAGGAAAATCAAACAACACATCAATAGAGATTGGACAACATATGCAATATTCCACAACTTCCCTCACCTCTGCAAAGAAGGCAGAAACATGGATCTTCTCAACTCTTCTCTGAGGCCAAGGTTAGTCATTAAAATCTCAATGTGATCACTTTCATTTGTGTGGATGTGCCTTCTGTTCATATGATTATATATTGTTTCCACTGTGCAAACACACATATTTTTTTGTTTCTGCTTACTTCCCTCTGGAGTAATTCAAGTAACTCTGCCCATTCTTCTCTGAATTCTTCATATTTGTTGTTTCTTACCACAATTTCTTATTTTATTCATGTAATACACTGTGTTTAGTCATTCTTCAACTACTGAAACTTATTTTGTTTCTAGTTCTTTGCTACCACAAAAAGTGCTGCTTAACAATGGGATCTCTGGTGAAAAGGAATAGCCATTTTAAGCCACAATCGTTTCAGATTGCTTTCCAAAATGGAATGGTTCCTAACTCCACAACCAGTGTATTCTTGTGCCTGTCCACAGTCTCTTCAACATTGAGGATCAGAAGTTTCGAGATGGAAGGAAACTTTAAGGCCATCTGGTCTAACACCCTCATTTTGCAGGTGAAGATGCTGAGTCCTGGGAGGGTCAGGTGCTTTCCAGTTTCACACAAGTGGGAAATGGCAGCACAAGAATTTGAACCCAGGACATCTGAATCCAAAGCAGGTGTTCTTTCCACCACATCATGCTGTCTAGAATATTTCCATTTTCTGTTACCTATGCTAATTTGCTGAACATGAGCTGACACCTGAGCTATTTTGACTTGATATGTCATGGTTATTTAGAATATTTTTCATATAGTTGTTAATAATATACAATTCCTTCTCAGAATTGTGTATTCATGTTCTTTGACCATTAATCCATTGGGGATTCATTATCTATTAATAATTCCTGATGGCCTGGATAGCACATCCTCATGAGAGATAGTTGATGCAAAGATTTTTTTCCCCCAATTGGCAGCTTCCATTTTTATCCTTACTGTATTGATTTTTGTTAGTGAAAAACTTTTTAGTTTTATGTAATCAAAAGCATTTATTTCATTGTTTATTATTGCCTGTATTTCTTGTTGAGTTAAGAAGAATCTCCTTTGCCCTAATCATGAAAGATAATGGATCTGCTTGTCTCCTACTTTTTTCTAGTGTAACCTTTCATACCTGGTCAGATAGGAAATTTGATTGAACACGTGGTGTTAAATATTCGTAGAAACTTAATTTCTGCCAAGTGTTCCCAGATCAGGGTTTTCTGGTAAAGGCTCATTTCTCAAACACACAGGAAACCAGTTCAAATTTATGTGAACACAAGTCATTGCCCAATTGATAAACAGTCAAAGGATATGAGCAGGCAGGTTTCAGATGAAGAAATTAAAGCCATCTATAGTAATATAAAAATTCTTTAAATCACTATTGATTAGAGAAATGCAAATGAAAACAACTCTGAGGTACCACCTAACACCCATCAGACTACCTATATCAGATTACTTGCTGTCTTGGGGAGGGAGGGGGAAAAAATTTTAAACTCAAAAGCTTATGAAAATGATTGTTGATAAATAAAAATAGATTAATAAAAAAATTTTAAAAATTTTAATAAAGAGAAAAAGACCAGTTTGTACACAAATATTTATAGTATCTCTTTTTCTAGTGGCAAAGAATTGGAGATTGAGGAGACGTTCATCAATTGAGAAATGGCTGAACAAGTTGTGGCATATGAATTATAACAGAGTACTATTGTGCTATAAGAAATGATCAGGATGATCTCTAGAAAAACATGGACTTGGAGTAGCTAGGTGGCACAGTGGATAGAGCTCCAGCTTTGGAGTCAGGAAGACCTGAGTTCCAATCCAGCTTCAGACGCTTGACACTTACTAGCTGTGTGACCCTAAGAAAGTCACTTAACCCCGATTGCCTCACCAAAAAAAAAAAAAAAGAAAAGAATACATGGACTTATATGAACTGATGCAAAGTGAAATGAGTAGAACCAGGAGAACATTATACACAGTAACAGCAATATCGTATGATGATCAACCGTGAATGATTTAGCTATTCTCAACAATACAATGATTTAAGATAATTCTGAAGGACTTATGATGAAAAATGCTATTCACCTCCAGAGAAAGGACTCTTTTTTTAAATTTTTTTTCTTGGAGGGTTTTTTTTTGGTCTGTATTTTCTTTTACAACATGACTAATATAGAAATGTTTTGCATGACTGTACATGTATAACCTTTCAAACTGCTTGCTCTCTCAGAGAAGGGATAGGAGAGGGAGGGAGAGAGAATTTGAAACTCAATGTTTTAAAAAGTAAATGTTAAAAATGGTTTGTAAATGTAATTGGGAAATATCACTCAAAAAATGAAATAAGAAGAAAGTGTTTCCAAGCCATTCTTGCCAAATAGGGAATTCTTCCTAAGTTATTCTATTTAATGAAACACTGGACTACTGTGTTCTTTCTGATTCTTTCTCCTCTAGTGCGTTCCACTTTTTCAACTTGTCTATTTTTTATCAGTATGATATAATTTTATAATTAGTGATTTATTATATTATTTGACTTAAGGAAACACTATTCCTACTTTTTCATCATTTCCCTTGAGATTATAAATTTTGCTGTTAGTTCAAATTAACAATTTGACTATTGTCTCAGGAATCATTCCCATATCAATAGGAAGTCTTTTCCTTCTTGTCTGTTAAAATGCAGTCATTTTCATTCTTTATGATGCTATTTGGTGTTCACTCCTCTTTTTTAGGCAGTTGGGGTTAAGTGACTTGCCCAGGGTCACACAGTGTTTGGTCTGAGGCTGGATTTGAACTCAGGTCTTCCTGACTTCAGGGTCAGTGCTCTATCCACTGTGCCACCTAGCTGCCCCTGGTGTTCACTTCTTTAAAAAGTGTTTATGATATAGAGGTATAGATATTCCATCTTCCCCAAGTGGAAAAGAAAAAAACCTTTGTAAAATAAATATACCCAGTGAAGTAAAATAAATTCCTACACTCTCCATGTCTTTAAAATGTATGTCTCATTCTGCATCTTGATTTTATTATCTGTCCATTATTGAGTCTCTGGAATCATGGTTGATCACTGATCAGAATTCTTATGCCTTTCAAAGTTGTTTGTTTGACAATGTTGCCATCATTGTAAAAATCATTCCTCTGGTTTTTCTCACTTCCTTATACATGAGTCATATAAATTTCATTAAGTTCTTCCTTGAATTTCTCTATTGCTTCATCCTCAACAACCAATGTTGGTTTGAAAACTGCAGTTGTTTCAAGGATGGCATTTTTTCAAATATTTATTATTTGTACTTGAATGTAAAACCAAATGTCCCATTAAATAATGTTTCTTGTAACCTTTGGGCATATGATAAAACCTGATCCACCAGCTTCTATCTTAGCCTCTCCAAAGAATACCTGAGTTATACTTCAATTTTGTTGAAAATTCCTTTTTCCTTCTGATTTTGTTCATAGCAATATCAAGTTTGATATAGTACAAATCCTTTAGCAATATGCACATTTAGTCACTGGACAAGTATCGCACTTCTAGAGTACCAATAGTTAATTTTAAGTTTATTGATGGTCTAAAACTTGTGTGCATGCTTGTTCATTTGATCTCTCTCTTTCCCTTTCCTGCCATTCTACCACCAACACTGATGAAGTTGGAGGGGACCACAGAAGATTAAGGACCATTTTTATTTTTCTCTATTTCGTGGTTGTCATAACCAAAGAAGCAAAATGAACATAACCAAGAGAAGGGTTTATACAGTAAAAGCAAGATTGTTTTAAGAACAACTTTGAGCAAATAAGTCATTTTGATTATTATAAATGCCCAAATTAACTATAAGGGATGATGCTATTTGCATTCAGAAAAAGAACTGATAAACAAAAGCATGTATAAAATGATTATGTGTATGTATATGCATGTATATATAAATATACATATTTGTGTCTAATGGTAGCCATCTCTGGGGAGGTGGTAGGAGGAAAGAAAAATAAGAAAGGAAATTTACATGAAAACTTTATTATATATTTAAAAGGAATCGCAGGTTGTACATAATAGATCTATAGTTTCATGAGCAATCATTTTTTTTCCTTCTACTATGTTATGGAAATACATGTTTTATTACACAAATTTAAAATAAATAAATAAATAAAATAACAATAAATAATTTTTTCCTACAAAAAAGAAAAACAAAAGACCTACAATTTGATGGAAAATGATGAAAAGAGATGAAGCCATGGGGGAACAGAACTTTTAGCCCTCAAACTATATTAGAAAGCAGCAGTCAGAGCCAAGATGGAGGAGTAAAAAGGTAGTAGCTCTCACCCTCCCCTATCAAGCTCTGAAAGCACAGAAAATATCATCACAGAAAAAAAAACCCTGGAACAGCTGAACTAGAAGAAAGACAATGAACAGCAGTGCAGCAGCCCAGCCAACGGATCTCCCATTGCCTCAGCAAAAATAAGGGACGCAACACTACAAAGGGCCCCAGGCAGATAAGCACCCTGCAGCATTCATCTGAAAGGAGCTGAAGAAAGCAACATAGAGTCTTCCTAAAGTCCCAGCCTTGCTGATTCCAATACCAGGTAAGCTGTCAGCTACAGCCTCCAGTTGTCAACCAGGAGGAGATCCTGAAGCCCAGGTGGCACAGCAGGCAAACACCAACACCTGGACCTCTGAGTACCTCAGTGAGAACCAGTGGAAACCAGCTCAGAAAACCACCAGGTGCCTTGGCACTCTACCACAAAGGAATCTCCCAGTGCATTAGCAGAAATGACGCAGGCAGCACTGTAAGGGGCCCCAGGCAGATAAACATCCTGCAGCAACCATCTAAAAGGAGTTAAAGAAAGCTAAAGAAAAGGAAAAAAAAGTCAACCTAGAATTGCCTGAAAGTTCCAGCCTTGCTGATTCCAGCCCAACACCAGGTAAGCTGCCAGAACCCTACAGCCTCCAATTGCCAACATAAGAGGCCCCAGCACACAAAGCCAGTGACCAATACCTAGGATCCAAACACAAGAAGCTTGGGTCAGTGCCCTCTATTTCCCAGCAGGAGAGCTCAATCTCTTTAAAGGCCATGAGTAAAAAGTAAAAAGAAACATACCATAGATTTATATTATGAGAAGAGTGAAGATCAAGACAGAAATTCTGAAGAGGACAACATTGTCAACAAACCCACATCTGCAACATCAAAAGGGAATATGAACTGTTCTGAAGCCCAAAAAGCCTTCTTAGAAGAGCTCAAGAAGGATTTTAAAAGTCTAATGAGAGAGGTAGAAGAGTCCTTAAAAAATACAATTGGACAATTGGGGAAAAAAAGTACACTGAAGAAGACAAGTCCCTAAAAAACACAATTGGCAAACTGGAAAAAAGTACACTGAAGAAAACAAATCCTTTAAAAATACAATTGTCCAATTGGAGAATGAAGTGCAAAAACTAACAGAAGAAAACAATCTGTTGAAAACTAGTGTTGTACAAATTGGAAACTAATGTCTCTATGAGAGAGCAGAATCAGTCAAACAGAAACAAAAAAATGAAAAAATAGATGAAAACATAAAAAACCTCATGGGTAAAATAACTGACCAGGGAAAATCAATCCAGGAGAGACAATTTAAAAATCATTGGACTACCTGAAAACCATGATGAAAAAAAGAGCCTGGACAGTAATCATGAAATCATAAAGGAAAACTGCCCTGAAGTCCTAGAACCACAAGGTAAAATAACCATAGAAAGAACATACTGCTCACCACCTGAAAGAGATCCCAAATTGAAAACACCAAGGAATATCATAGCAAAATTCCAAAATTACCATATGAAAGAGAAGTTGCTGCAAGCAGCCAGAAAGAAACAATTTAAATATCATGGAACCACAGTCAGGATTACACAGGACCTTGCAGCTTCTACATTAAAAGACCGAAGGACGTGGAACATGATATTCCATAAGGCAAAGAAGCTGGGATTGCAGCCAAGGATCAGCTACCCTACAGAAATGAGCATGATTTTTCAAGGGAGGAGATGGATATTCAATGAAATAGGGGACTTTCAAACCTTCCTGATAAAAAGACCAGAGCTCAACAAAAAATTTGATCTTCAAGTACAAGATTCAAGAGAGACATAAAAAGGTAAATGGGACAGAAAAATACAATATGTTGTTAATAAGGGCAGACTGTTTACATCCCTGTGAGGGAAGATGACACTTGCAACTCTTGAGAACTGTATTGTTATTACACCATGTTAAAGGAGCATACACATGAATGTAATGGAATACTATTGTGCTATAAGAAATGATGAACAGACTGACTTCAGAAAAACCTGGAAAGACTTACTTGGTCTGATGCTGAGTGAACTGAGCAGAACCAAGAGGACTTTGTACACAATAACAGCCATGTTATGCGATGACTAATATTGTTAAACTGAACCCTTCTTGGCATTACAAGGATCTAAGACATCTCCAGAGGCCTCCGGGATGGATAATGCTGTCCACATCCAAAGAAAGAACTATGGAAGTCAAACCGCTATCACTTATTTTTACCTTCTGTTGAGTTTTGTTTCATCTTTCTGATGGTTCCTCCTATTGTCTTAATTTTTACTTACAACTTCACTAATGTGAAAATACGTTTAATAGGAATGTAAATGTAAAGCCTATATCAGATTGTGTGCTGTCTTGGGGAGGGTGGTGGGGAG